CATGCCGTACCCACCTCCACTGCCCAGGATATCAATATGATCCTGTGCACCCATGTTGTATAGCTGGCTTCTAGGGTACTCTACCCATCCTGGTTTTCAGGTCAACTGTCATATTGTTACAATACTTGTGTTCAAGTAACTGATTTTTTTTTGCGGTACTGGGGATTGAACTCAAGACCTTGTGCTTGCAAGATGGGTGCAGCACCATTGAGTTAAATCTCCAGCCCCTGTGATTTTAATAATAACCTCAATAATTGTTTTATTATTTGTTATTGTTGTTAACCTTATTGTTCTTAATTTATAAGTTCAACTTTATCATAGCTATAGATGCATGTATAGGAAAAGCAGTATATGTAGTCATCCACATGTATGAATTTCATATCCTTGGATTCAACCGTGGATTGAAAATACTTGAAAAATATTGTCAAAGTACTGAACATGTAGATTTTTTCTTGTAATTATTCCCTAAATGATAGAGTATAACAACTGTCTCCATGGCATTTAGTATATAAATAATCTAGAGATGACAAGAGTGTATTCAGGAGGACATGCATAGATACCATGCCTTTTATATAAGGGACCTGAGCATCTATGGATTTTGATATCCACAGTATTCTGGAACTATTTTCTTGTGGATACAGAAAGATGACTAGTATAAAAGCTTCCACACTGTCCTTGATTTCACGCATCCACTGAGGGTCTTAGCTACATCCCCCAAGGATAAGGGGACACTACTGTACTACAGTTATAACTCTACAACTGGAAGGGGCATCTTGACAGCTGATGCCGAGGGAGGATGGAAACCTCTAGCACTGGCAACGAATGCACACTTCAAAAGTGCTGACAGGGCCAGGGATTTGGCTCAGTGGTTCTGCTGCCTGCCTCGCAAGTGCAAGGACCCGAGTTTGATCCCAGGTACCCCCCGCCCCCAAAATGTGCTGTCAGCACCACCTTGGAGAAACAATTCTCTGAGCACGTTGTTCTGGAAGTGATTTGGGGAATTCAGAATGCTTGACATGGGAAGGTGTGAGGCATATTTAAGCATTGCTGAAGATATCTTAACCATGTTTTAAATCTGTAACGAGCTGCCAAAACAGAACTACTGTTATTTTTATTTTTGTTTATTTATTGGTACCGGGGATCAAACTCGGGTCCTTGCACTTGCGAGGCAGGTGCAGGAACCACTGAGCTAAATCCCTGGTCTTACTTATTGTACTTTTAAAAACTCAAAAGCTTAAAGGGGCAGGAAGAGCATTTGTTATAGGAAATTCTTCATAATTCACATGATTTCTAGTGGCCACAGAGCTTGCTCAGTGGGAGGGATTCTCTGTATTCCCATGGAGCTAATGAGACAGGGAAAATAATTTAATTCCCTTATTTGACAACTAAGGAAATAAACTTTGAGCCTCTCAATAAATTAGTTCACTGTCACAACTACAAAACAGAAAAATTAGTCATTCCCAACCATAGCTTCTGTGGTGAGCTTATGAACAAGTAATAAAAAGCCAACTACGCAAGCAAAAAAAAAAAAAAACCTAACCACAAAATACTGGTATCCTGAATCATTTTGAGAGATTTTGATTCAATCAGCTTGGGATGAGTGAGACCATGCTCCCCCGCCGCGTGGGTACTAGGGATTGAACCCACATCCCTAGCTTTTTGTAAAAAATTTGAGACAAGAGTCTAGCTAAGTTGCCCAGTGGGGCTTGCACTGTGATCCTTCTGCCTCACCCTTACAGAGTGCTGGGATTATAGGCATGCACCACCACTGGTTCACATCTGTATTTTTAAATGCTCTACCAGGTGCTGACAGCCAGGAGTACTGGATAGGATTTGTGCTCAAGCTTTCTGACCTGTGTCCTTTATGCTTTTTAAGTGCTGTTAATATTCATCATTACCTGGGTTTCCTTACCAACTCAACTCTCTCTTCTCTGAAACATGCACTCTGCTGCACAGCTCTTTGTGGGAAAGGAGCTCCTCTTGGATAACCAGATTCTCCACCTCACTGCCCTCTCACTCTGCCCCCACCTCAGCCTGGCCACCCAGATGCTGAGTTCGTATTGTTCACACTTGCTTATTTTCAGTTGTTTCTACAAAGGTGTTGGTGCTGCTGCTGACAATCTTACTGCCCTTGCCAATACAACCTGCTCAACATCCAGGCCTTCAGTTCATGATTTACAAAACAGTAGAACGTCTGCACTAAGGTACTTTGAATTGTCTTTCTAAAAATGGGTGTCTTTCTAACTATGGGGGTAAAGAGTTAACCTAAAGCCTGAGATGGGAGAAGACTTGACAGTGGTAGTGGAATGAAATTATCCAATTACAAGCACGTGGGAGACACACGCACGGGTGGCGGTGGTTTGTCTCCTGCAATCAATGCCTCTGTATAATTAATTCCCTCCCCTAAGTGCACCAAAGGCCAGTGACCTTCTTCTAACCACTACAATATGGCAAACATGAAGACATTTGGCAACTATATGTAATATATTCCCTAATCATTCAACTGAATTTATTGGACTGTGTTTCGGGTCCTCCATATAAACAACCTCCAGCCTTGTAGTCAATGGTTAGATGAGGCCTCCCAAAGGGCCTCTTGGACCTCTGAAGAGTCCAAGCAGCAGAAATGCTCTCCACTGCTGGCTTTGAAGCACACTGCTATGCATTCTGTAGCCATAAGGGAGTCATGTTGCAATTCCAGACTGGAAGTGGGGCCTTTCTCACCTGAGCCACTACATGAGAACGCAGCCCAGCCAGCACCTTGATTTCAGCCCCATGCTAGATTCTTAATTTACAGTGGTATTTATGTTAAGCTTGAATTATTTTTTACTCAGCAGTGTAAAATATAGATGTTCTATGCTGAAAGCTGAAATCCTGCAGTGTGGCTAAGTGGAATTTGGGCTCACTTGAGTCACTGACAAAATCTAGTTATTGCAATGAGAAGAGCATCTGACAGGTATTACAATGCAGGAGCTGTGTGTCCGTGAGCTCCAGTAGTCCTGGAACAAAGGAGAGGAAGGTCAGCGTTCTTATACTCACTCAAGGCTAGACTTTCAACACTGTGAAGTAAACATTACTGCCCTAGAATGTGCTGTTCATAAAATCAAATTTGTATACTGAAGGTGAAGACATTTTCTGCTATGACAAGACTCCACATGTGGCTGTTATCTCCTAGCTATGCTAAAATTTAAACCTCTGAAGTAGTTCTTCCTTCAGACAGACAAGAACTGGAGAAGCAGCTGCAGGAAGGCAGAGTCACTGACTTGGTACTGATTCTTTTAAATGGTGCTAGTGAGTCAATGGATACTGGCAATGGCATGAAAGGTGACTTCTGGGAAGCTAGAGAGTCACTAGGGGAAGACAGCCACCTGGGGAGGTGGTGGGAGCGGGGTAGATCTTTATGGTACTGGAGTTGGCGGAGAGCTTAGTGATCATCTATTTCTACCCATTCACTGAATGACACAGGTTTGGGGATAAGAATACCGGAGAAGGGATTAAAACCCAGCTCAACAAACTCTCGCTACCACGCTGTATTGTCCCTCTCTCAATTGTTTCCCCATTGCTCAGACTTCGGGTCCTCCATATATACAACCTCCAGCCTTGTAGTCAATGGTTAGAATTACTACTCATACAAGCTCAGCTACATGACATAATAATCTATCATCAGCCTCGATGACATCAATGCCTTAACAAAAAAGCTCTAGATCAACTGTATGTTCAGCCTTATAACCAATGTCATTAACTTCTTGGAGCAGCCTCGTTTAGTTTCAGGGCCTTGCTCATCCTAAGATGGCGAAACTAACAAAAAGTAACCTCAGCCAAGTCCTGGCCCAGGCTTTGTTCCCATTGCCTTGTGCGGAGAGCTCTGTAGCACAAACTGGCTGGATGTGGCCAGAAGCACTTAATTGGCTGGAAGGAGAAACTGGTTTGGGTTTTTTTGGTGGTCTGGCCTAGGAGCCACAATAACATTTAGCGCACTCAGCGTGGTCGCCAGAGTGGGGAGGCTGTCTTCTAAAGGGGATTTAAACTGCCCAAGCATGTTGTCAGTAAGTTGACTGAGAATCAGAAATCCTTCTATCAAGATTTTTTTTTTCATGTTTAAGATGGGAGGCAGTGGTTAGAAGTGTGGTGACTACCCCAGTTTAATTCCTGTCTTAATTTACAAGCTATGTAGCTCACAGTAAATTACTTCTCTGATTTGCACAATGGGAAAATAATACAACTTCACAGAATTGGTGTGGGAATAAATGAAAAAAATCAAGAAATTTACATGCTCCAGGAGCTGTTACTATGTGGCTGTTAGTGATGAGAAACAGAGTTTAATACAATATAATGTGCAAGATTTCTAAGATATCCTCATCTATTTTAGTATATGTGCTGCCAAAAAGAGCATTATCTTCATCTATTTAGTTTACCAAGTTAAAGGAAAACACTTGTCACAAGTGTATTAACAAAATTTGTTGAAAAGTATAGCATCATATTTGAAATAAGCCATACATACTAGGAGAGTCTGAAATATTATTCCTTACTGTCCCACCCTTCACTTCGTCCCCCAAAATGTATTTGTAATAACACTATGCACAGTTGGCAAATACTGTATTCTCCATTAAGAATTGCCAGAATGTTTTATGTATATTTAAAAATGTCCTCTTCTGAACCATTTGAAAATTATTAAAGAAATTAACTCCTTTAATTTAAAAGCAACCAACCTTCTATCCTTATCAACCTCTAAAGAAACACATTCCCCCAACATTCTAAAAGCCCCAAGTTCTAATACTATTTCCTCAGAAAAACAAATGGTGGTACTGCCCTGTGCATGCAGAGTGCAGAAACAAACTATTCAATTTAATAAATGTTTGAAAAGGACTGCAAAAGTGTGTATGCAAATAAGCAAAATGCCATCCATGAAAGAGTTAAAACCACCAACAGAAAGAAGGAAGGCTTATTTTTTTCTATTTTACTTCAAAAGGATCAAATAAATCGGTCATCAGTCTTTGATCAATGTTTGGATTTGCCACAACCTTCAGAAACTGTACAAAAAGACAGTTTTTTTTTGTTTTACTTATTTATAACAAATTTATCACATAAGGCAAATTGCTTCATGCTTTACTTCAGTAAAATGAGGGGAAAGCTTTCTCTGAAATTGGCACTAAAGTTGTTTTACGTCCTTTATAACAAGAAGATAACATCCAACTATAAGCAGAATGAACACAGTCATAATACATATCAAATAAAAATGATTTCCTTTATATAATCAACAATGAATAACTCCAGAGGTAGTATGGCAGAAATGAGCATGGATCCTATCAGGTCACAACCAATGAGGAAATTAAATTTATTTTTTTCTATGGTTTTGACCATAAATTGCTTTACACATTTAGGATCTGAATAAAAACCACACTCAGCAGAAATCTTGGCCCATTGATTGAACTGACACATCAATTTACAGCTTTCAGGACTGCAGATATAAAAATGTAAAGTATAAAATTATGTTAAGTTTGAAATGGTTTTAATCATATTCATTAAAAATATTTACATTTCCCAGTACTTACTTGACAAAACCCCCTTGCAATATAATTCTACTCTAAACTTTTTATTTATAAAACGAGGCTCATTTATGAGATTTCAATGACCACTGTACTGCAAATTACATTCTGTAAAATATTTTAAGAACTTTTCATATCAAAGGTAGTTTATATTGGATTATCTGAAACCCAATAGTGCCCACAGAAGAGCTTCTTAAATTCTTTTCATTAATGCTTGGAAAGCACTGTGAAAAATGAAAAGTGCTGTTAAGTGCTATCATCTCCCTTAAATTTTCACATACACTGTGTGCACATTGTGAAATAAACACATATGCAGCATGTCCATGTTTTGATATGTATTTTTTATTTCCCTGCAGTTTTCACTTATCAAGAACAAGTAACAGGGAAAGTTGTCTGAACTAGTGCATAAACAAACATTTTGAAACACCACTACACGTATCTAATTTACAAGAACCGTATAAAAAAAGTCACTAAAACACTACACTATGAAGGTGTCCAACGCTTACAGTCAGACTTTTTCCAACCCGTTACTTGCCTTGTAGCCACAGGAAAACTCTCCAAAATTGAAAAGACAATCTTGCCACAACCCTCCCCCCTCCCAACACCTGGGATGGCTCGATATCTAGACTTCCAATAATTATTGCAATGATATAATGCAATACATACCTGGTAAATATCATTTATGTGGTGTGTTACAGTTTTAAAGCCAGTTAAAATGCAGTCTTCGGATAAAATGTAATCTTTGAAAAATTTTCATATCTGCACAGGTTAAATGTGCTAGACACATAATTTTTCCCAGTCCATTTTTTATGTGTAATTTTTTTTATAAACTGGTAATATAAATAGAAATATACATTCAAAATATATGGAAAAGTGAGTTACTACATTAAATTTGCATGTATCGATCCATCCCTTTCCCCTGCACAGTAATAGAAAATACTATTTTGCCTTGAACTTCATATTTGACAGTGAAATGCCACTAAAGTATTTACCAAAAAGTCCATCTAGTCAAATTGTGAAACAAAATGAACCAAGTGAAAACTTTACAGTTCCTTTAGAAAAAAATTACAAGAATTTCATTTCCTAGCTATGAATCTTTAACTTTTTAGACACAAAGTTGGATTTATTTTTACAAGATACAAAATGTAAACATGGCAAAATAAATAGTTAAAACAAGTGATGCAGGATCCCATTTCATGCTCATGATCCCATTAAAGAATTATTTTTTAAAATCCATTCAGTTGCAAATTCAAGTGCAAAAGCATGATGATGAATATCTACTATTCAAGTAACAGAAATAATATTGATGATACAAATAAACTATTTTACAAGGTAGTGATTTTCCCAATTTTACAAAATATACATCATACATGGATCTAACATCCAATATACTGTAGTCCATTTAGGTCCACTGTTACACTCTGTGATCCACAGAGCATCGCCTTTTGCGTTCAGCTGGAATATGAATGACTGCACACCATCCACACAGGTCAAAGCCACATGCTTTAGGTTATGTCACTTCCATAGCTACTGTTGTCTCTGCTATTCCATTTAAACCCAATCTTTCTGGTTCATGGTTCTCTCTATAATAAGGCAAAGAGTAAAATAAATATTAATACTCTCTAAAACACATTACCACTTAGTATGTACAGATGACATTTTATGTAACTCCAACTAAACACGATTTCACAAGATCCTTCCCCATTTTTAACATTTTTCACACAGGAATGAGGAAGCTTTCTTCAGCTAATTTTTCAGATAGGAACGAAGATGTTTTTCTCAGGTCGCAAATTCCACTGATTTCTAATTATTTGATTGTAATTATGTATTTAGGAAAGACAATTTACCTGTTTCTTTAGTGGAAATTAATGATAAATTACTTATGAAATCTGAAACATAGGGAATTTCAAAATTTTTTTTACAACAAATGGAGCATATGCTGCACAAAGAAAATAATCACTAAGAGTACAATTCTGCTTAAATTACCTCCTGCTAGAGTTTAATTCTCTAGGCTTAAGGTCATGGTACTTATTAATCAGTACAAATCAATTCTACTTTAGTATTATCCTTGCATTAGTGTCATTAAAAAAATAAACTCACTCTGAGATACAGTATAGATGTAGAATAGTTTACCTTTTTTTATGGCCTAATACAAAAGAAAACACAAATTTTGAAAACCGTGCATAGAATTAATAATAAAATTTTAATCTAAACTGTGCATAGAATAATAAAATTCTAATCTTTGAAGCTGTCTAAGTCATAAAATAATATAAGAATATTTGAAGCTTCTAAAATACATTCTCATGAAATTGCCATTTGACATTTTCCTGGTTTTATTTTTAATCAATTCTGGCCGTCATTTAAGCATCCTGCTAGGAACTTCAAACAAATAATCAAAGTCACAAAGCTTTATGCTAAACAGATTTTCAAGATCTGTTCAAAGCAAGTCTGTTAATAGGCACTGCTTGAACAGTAAAAATAAGGTCTGTTTCCTCCCACTGGGTAGCCAGCACAAAGGGAGTGAATGGTACTGGACACATACACACACCTTGCTATGCTGCCGATGGCACTACTAGGAGTAACCTTTGGCACTCTGTCCATACTGGCAGCAACTGTGGCAAGTTTTAAGGCTGTTGGCGATGGTGCTGAAGTCCGTGTATTGATATGCACATTGACTGGAGAAACAACACTGACGTTATTGAGGTGCACTGCATTTGTCAGGCAGGAATTGTTCATGGGAAGTGTTTGAGGACTGCTTGTGCACAGCGCTGGGATTAAGTGGTTTGTAGTAGTGTGGCCAACTGTCCTTACAAGTTGCACAGCTGAAATCCCTGGGCTGGATGATAAAGCCATATTGGTGGAGTATAATGTTTTAGAGGTTCCTGAAAGAAAAAAATACATTCAGTTAGTGTCATGGGACATTAATAAAACTCTTAAAAAAAACAGGAGTTTAATAAAAATAAATACAAACATTCCTATTCTAATAAAATATCAAGTTAACTTTCCATATAACAGTCTCTCCAAAGAGAGCTGCTGATCGGCAAGTTCAAGGTACTCACTGGTTGTAATATCAATACTCTCTTGCATAAAAAGGCTTTTCAGAGTACTCTGCCGCCTTTATTTGTGGCAACCTTGGAGGAAAGTACAATAGGATAGATGGAAATGATAGCTAAGTTTCCCTAAGAATTTATAAATGAATGAATATCAGTAAGGATTGACTATCAGGATCTTGGGTAATGTAAAACAACGGAAAATCCTAGGGTTTGAGAGATAGTTGAAGGATTATAGAAACTGAAAGTCTTAGGGTGGGGGTAGAAGGGAACAGACAGGATTTCATACCAACTCTGCATCTCATGAATAATTAATTATCAGAGAAAGTATGTCTACTAATATGTAAAAGTGGGATGGTAACCCTGCGCTCAAAGTTATGTAACAGATGGTTCTGGATTATACTTCACTTTTTTTTTTTCTGGTACCGAGGATTGAACTCAGGCCTTTGGGCTTGTTAGGTAGGCACCAGAACCATTGAGCTAAATCCCCAGCCCTGGATTATACTTCACTTTTAATCAGTGCATGGATTTCATAAAATGTTAGGCAACTGACAGTCTATGGATGAAACAAGGAAGGGTGGAGTGTCCCACAGATGGGTATATCCAGTGTATGGGAGAAAACAATGAATTCTAGAAAAATCACTACATCTTTACACAGATATTCCGAAGAGAACTGATTGCATTTTTGTACATGTTCCCCCCTTGTATATTAAAAACAAAACAAAATCAAACTCAACTGAGTTATAACTTCAATTTCTAGTTTGTATCACTTGTATACTAGTAAGTACTATGCGGAAATTGTAGCCATACCTGAAGGTTGGACAACACCATTTAGGTTGTTGTGGCCAGTATTCTGTTCCTTGGCTATCTCACTGCGACTTGGAACAGGTGCACTGACCACTGCGGATGCAGCAAAGTGGGCGCTGGCTGAGTCAAGTGTTTTAGACATGCAGTCAGAGGTGCTTGAGCCCTATAAAATGGACAAAGTGAAATTCTCAGTTTTTCAGACGTATTTTAAAAAACATATTAAGGAATGGGATGAACCCAAGAGGCTCCCGCCTTCCTAATCCGGAACAGTCACAAGTATTTAGATTAAGAGATCTAGGACTTCATACACTATTTTTGATATATGACGTGGGAAGTGACTAAAAACTAGCAACAATTCTAAGAAGCAGGGTATTAAAAAAATCCAGATAGAACAAATTAATGTTCTATTAATTTTCTTAACAGTATTAATAAATGACTTAAAAAACGTTCGACATCTGATATGATGGGATAAGTAAAATAACAGATAGGACTAACAGTCATTTTTGTCATAATGGAAAAACCTGTTCTGCCCTAGCCTTTAAGTAGGCTAAAAATACTTTAAATCCAAGAGACTCACAAAAAGCAAACACAGTTAAGTTAAATGGTCACTCCTTGATTCTGTATAAAAAACTGGTTGACTGGGGCCAGGGATTTAGCTGAGTGGCTCAGTGTTTGCCTTGCAAACATAAGGACTGTAGTTCGATTCCTGGCACAAACAACAACAACAACAAACAAAAACACAACAACAACAACAAAAAACCTGGTTAACTGTTATGCAAGCCAACAGCACTAGTCTGGCAGCTGGTCCCAGGCCCATTTGGATGTCACAGAAGAGTTAGTTGACAGGGTTTAGAGCCACTGATATTTTCATGGTGTTGGACTCAAGACCTTTAAAGACAATGTACTGACCCCTTTAAAATGAGTTGAACTGCTATGGGTAGATCCTGACCTAAAGTCCACAGAATAACCAAACTAAGACAACTTGTTACCTCAGAAGTACCTTTAGAATTATAGAGTAAGAAGAATTAATGCAAAGTTTATTCTTTTTAGGTGGATCAAACCTTGAAATAATTTCTTGGTTTTTTTTTTGGTCCTGGGGATTGAACTCTGGACCTTGCACTTGTGAGGCAGGCAGCCACACCACTGAGCTAAATCCCTGGCCCCACTTAGTTTTTTTTTTAATGGCTTAAAACAACATAAATTTATTTCTTATACAGTTATAGAGACTAGTTCACACTGAATCTTACAGGGCTTTCATATCAAAGTGTTGGCAGAGTTGCTTCCCCTGATTTTATGTAGTATTTTTATTCTCATCCCTAGTGGCTTTATTTAATGGTGTCTATGAGCAACTTTCCACAGCGACACTTTTTTTTAAATAGAAAATTGTAATTCACAGAGGCAAGGGGGCTATACTACTTACTTAGACCTATTGTATAATTCAAAACAATTACCTATCACCCTGTAAGGCATATCTACACAATACTTAAAGACATGGTTTTGGAAGGCATTTAAAATAATTATATTCTTGAAAAAAATCTGGGGGATGATGGTTGCAACAACACTATTTATATGAATACTCAGCAACCCTTCTAAAAGTAGCAGGTAGTTACTAAAAAATATACATTTTGGCCTTAGTACTTTTAAAAAAAATATTCGGAGACTAGTTAATGAACTAGTCACTTAAAATTGTCTAAATCATTTAAAAAGAAATCTGGGTTAGATTTTCAAAATCAAGAGTGGCAATCAAAAGCTATTTTCTGTGACTTGATTGAAACCAAACAAAACTACATAATTACAAAAAAAGAGGAAGAGACAGCATATAATTAAAAGACAAGTTTACCTGTGCTTTTGGATGTGTCTGTTGCGAGGAATGCTGAGATTGCTGTTTTTGCTGAAGCTGAGCAAGTTGCTGCCTTTGCATTTGAACTAACTGCTGTTGATGTGTCTGGAATTGTTCTTCTGTGATGCCCCCTGTTACTGGTGAAGGATTAAATAAGTATGATTTCAAGTATTTTTAATAACACAAGAATATGATGTAAACTTATTCCACAATTAAATCACAATATATACCAGGAAAAAAAATCCCAACACAAGTGACCAATCTTTCATCTAGTATGGCATGTACTTATATCCACGATCTCCTTAATATCATATTTTATATACATCCTATATGCAGTTTTTATTGTATAACATGGTTCTAACATGAGGACATTCAGACTTATGTTTTTTGAGATCATTTTTTTTTGGTACTGGAGATAGAACTCAGGATCTTGCGCTTGTGAGGCAGGTGCGCAACACCACTGAGCTAAATCCCTGGCCCTGAGATCATTCTTGATCATATACATTATGATGACAATGTAGTTGAGACAAAACTGAACTTGTTAATATGTATAATGATGGCTAAGTTACAGCATTAATAAGAATGCACTGCCTAGGGCTAGGATTTAGCTTAGTGGTACTACCATGCTTGCCTTGAAAGTGACAAGGTCCCAAGTTCAATCCCTAATACAACAACAACAACAAAAAGCAAGTCTACATGATTTTACTGATGGTTTTCATATGACAAAGTGAAAATACTTTCCCTCTGATTATAAATCAGAGAACAAAGACGTTCATCTTAGCATAACGATTAGCCATAGTTAAACCAACAGATTGAATCCTTAAATCCAATCTACAAAAAAATGCTAGTAATCAGAAAAGCTTTCTGAAAATTAAAGATACTATGTATTTTCAGATGTAATCAATTTGAGAGCTGGGAATGGTGGCACATGCCTATAATCCCAGCATTCCTGCCAAGGCAGGAGGATCTCTGAGTTTGGGGCCAGCCTGAACTACATATACATAGTAAGACTTATCTCAAAACAAAAACAAAAACAGATGTAATCAATTGTGCTGTGATCAAGTATGTTAAAAAGTTAAGGGGTTCATATAATTTATTTTCTTAACAGCTAAGAAAAATTACAGTAGTCATCATTTTTCTCAAAGAAATGTAAACAAAATTTCATTCATAGATATTTAAATAAATCACTGATAAATTGATTTAGGGGACAGCGAGCTATTTCCATAGAGGTTAGTGCTTTTTTCGCTTACTGCTGCTTTCTTCTCTCCTATTTCAATCAACAAGTGTTGACTCTCTCCTATGGTGCAGAGTTATATCAAGAGTTACAATGAAAAATTTTGTTTCCATTTTTCTCATATTTTTTTTCTTTCTCTTCTTTCCTTTCCCTTACCCCCCGCCCCGTCATTTCCCCTTCCCTTTTGGATTTTTCTTATTTCACATTATCTATTATACATTTTAGTCCTGATTTACACTTTCAGTTTTTCACACCAGCAGAACTATTCAATTATTTACACATGTGTGTCCTCTTTATTTCACTTAAGAGTATGGCCTCAATGCGAATCCATTTAGCTATAAATGTAGGGAGGAGCAGAGGAGTGGAAGGGAGGGAAAGAGAATGAGAAAAAGGAAGAACCAAGATATATCATGTACAGATATAAATTCCCAATCACGACTGTGATTACAATGTATGCCTAGAACATACCAATAAACAATAAAATAAAGTTATAGTGAGAATCGGGAAGAATAAATTAAGAAGAGGGCCTTTGCCATAAAATCCTATAGTGTAGCTGGGGAAAACAGATACATATAAGGAAATACACGCATGGAGTAATCCTCTGTGATAAAAGACAAACGAGTCACTGTAGGAAAATGGATGCACCTGGAGAGTGCAACGTTAAATGAGATAAATCAGACACACTGAACTTAAGTATTGCTAAGTTTCTCTTATATGAGAAACCCAAATTATAAAGAGCAAAATAAAAGATAGATAACTGGAAGCAGGGAGATGGATCCTCCTCAGATGGGAAGGGGACCAAGAGCTGGAGGGGATAGGGAGGGGAGGGAAAGGGTTGAAGGAATGAAGATGTGTTGTGTACACGCACCAACTCCATACAAGGCATATAACTATTATAAACTGTAAACAGGAACTTAAAAAAAAAGCCTCAACTAGTATGAGTCAATCTTTATATGCAGTTGAACGATCTAATAAATGTGACCTGCAGGGTTTTAGATTAAGGATTGTACCAGAAATCTAGGTCAGATTACTCCTCCCACAGACTTTCATATATTTTCATATATGAAAATATTTTTATGGTAACTGAGACATATTACACGTTAAGCCTAGTGAAATTCTACTTTCTATCTTCAAAATCAAATGAAAATGTAGAGCATTCATGAATCTCCAGCTGTTTGAAAACCATAAGGAAGAGAGGAAAATAGCTTATTACATACAAAGACAGGAAGGAAAATTTAGACATAAATAAAACTGTAACAGCGGACCATTTCAAAAGAAAATGACTTGCAATCTGGTATTAACAAAGTCCTTAAATCCAGTACTGTTTGCCTGGGGCTGAGCTTCATGTACTGGTGAAAAGGTGACATTCATAGTGGTTAACTTTGAGGAATAAACCAAATAAGGAGAAAATAATTCTGTTGGCTATTTCAAAAGGGAAATTTCAAAATCTTGTAAAGTTGATAAAAATCTTACTAATCATAATAAAATACAGGCTGAGTGAATATCCGTAGTTGGAAATGCTCTAAATCCAAAACTTTATTTAGAGTATTCTGAATTTTAGGTTTTTAGATTAGGCTGTTCAATCAGTAAAATCTACATCAATATTCCAAAATAAAAAACACTCTGAAATAAGTCTGATCATTTCAGATAAGGGACATAACCTGTATGTATCTAAATTAGTGAAATGAACAAATTACAACATTTTTAATTAAAAAATTACTTTGGGTTGGTAGTTCATGGCTAACAATGGATTGCTAACTAGGAGTATTTTAGCTTGATTTTATGAATAGATGATCATTTATGTATATATTAAAAAGAGATACTGGTAAGACTGCTTTCTCGATGTCTATATTTGGTCTTTCTTATTGAGACCATTAACTTGCTCAGGAACCCCATTCTTTTCTCCTTACAGAAACTCGTAAAATTCTAAGCCACTCTCAATCCAAATTATTCAGATTAATAGTGTTTCTCAACCTTTTAAAATTTAAGCTAATGAAAAATTAATTTATTTTCTGGTACCGGGGATCGAATTCCGGACCTTGCACTTGTGAGGCAGGTGGCGGCACCACTGAGCTAAATCCCCAGCCCATTTAAGCTAATTTAGAAATAAAAAATCTCATCTCTGGTTCCCACTTTTAGTTGAGAATCATGGACACAAACTTAATTTTACAATATAGACATCCTTTAAAAACTCACTTTTTAAAATCTTTCCCCAGTCCTAAACTTAGAACTTTATATCCATTCTTGACATCCAGTTTTTTCTTTACTATTAAGGTGTTCTATGTTTGAAACAAGTTGATGTTCTTCATCCAGAATTTTTTAGAGCACTACTTAGTATTACTTCAACTCTCTAGATAAAAACAGAAAATAATGGGCTGGGGATTTAGCTTACTGGTGCCGCTGCCTGCCTTGCAAGTGCAATGTCCTGAGTTTGATCCCTGGTATCAAAAACAAAAACAAAACAAAACCCAGGAAATAATAATCATGACAAAAAATGGAACACATACAAAATACCATTTCTAACTCCTTTACCACTGGTAGGATAAAGGGAAAGTAGTAACAATTGTATAGTTTTAATGGCACAGATTCAATAATGAACTGCCATTCTCAATACTGACCTTATTATCAGCAGGTGAAGGATAAAAATGTGATTAAAAGCACTCTTTCTACTAATCATTTTTCCTTTCATAAGTTAGTGAAATACTTTCATAGGAAACTTTTTCTTACACTGACTGAGTCATTACAATCATACATTATTGTGGGAGGCTGAGGCAGGGGATCAAAACTTTGAGCTCAATTTGGCAATTTAGCAATTTAGTGAGACCCTGTTGCAGAATAAAATAAAAACGGATGGGGGTGTATCCCTGTGTGAAAGTCCTGGGAGAAGAAGAAGAAAAAAGGGTATGCATTAAAATAAATCAGGAAAAGGGCACAGTTATAGTAAAATATAGTGAAAAAAATCTATTTAGGAATGAGATACAGGGTAGGGACCCAGCTCTGAGTAGTGTTGACACAAAGCAGCAGTGGAAATGCATAAAGAGAAACCTTTTCTGCTTCTTTACCAAAGCCAAAGCCAAGCCAAATTCTTTTCACTAGTTGATGGCCAAATGGTGGTGGGGGCGGGTAGAATAAGGGGATGGGAGCCAATGGCTGTTAGCTTAAAAGGAAATTCATTTCAATCTGCACAATCCTGTAAGTTTAAAGGTAACCACAAACACGATTATTGTGTGATAGTAGTAATATTTCTCTAGATAGATGGGAAGAAGTTTTACAAAATGTTCTGGGACAACACATTCTATTGAACTGGTATACTTATTAGAGAATTTTCCCCTTTATATGTCCAAATATGTCATTCTATGCATAAGTATCATGCTTTCATTTCTAGACATTGTACCCACAAACCGTTTTTCATGAAAGCCCTTAACCTTTCTGGCTAACTTCTATCTGACTCTTGTCTTAGATTCAACTGTCTTCCTCTAATGAATCAAGGTACCTTTTATTAGAATACTGTCACTATCCTTGGAATGATGTTTCAAAGATCCTAAAGGCATTCTGAGTGATGCATGAAAAACATACTGTGGATACTACTACAGACTTTATACTAATATATAATTTTAAAATTCTGGACACTGTTTCTTTTTTTTCTTTCCCTTTTTTTTTCTTCTCTCCTCCCTCTCTCTCCCTCTCTCCCTCCCCTCTCTCTCTCTTGAGTATATGTAATTTTTTTTTTTACAAGTATTTGCTAGTTTGGTATTGGTGCTTCATGATAATCTTAAAAAAATCTAATATAAACACATTCTGGATGATCATCTCCCAATGGATATGAACAGATGACTTTTGTGCTTGTATTTGCCTTTGTTTTTCATAATCTTTTAATTTTACTGCAGTGTTTTTCAAATTGGTTTAAGAAGATATTATTCTTGGGAGGCCAAGAATTTTCAAATACTGGTCTAAATCAACTTTTCATGCTGTAACAAGTATTACCTGAAAGTCAAAATGAATATATTTTTCAGCATTTTTCATTGATTAGGTAGGTCTTCATTACAAGTTTTAACAAATGCTTTACCAAAGTGTTTTTGTTTGTTTGTTTGTTTATTTGGTGCCAGCAATCGAACTTGGGACCCTGAGCTTGCAAAGCAGGCAGTGGAACCACTGAGCTAAATCACCGGCCCTTGCTTGTTTTTTAAAGGACAGGTCTGGGACAAGATTAGGAGTTGAAAGAAGGCATAAATCTTTCAAAGCATAAAGGGAAGACAGGTGACTCGGGGTCTGTACAAATCACTCTGCTATTCTAAAGAGAAACTTCTAATCTAGGAAAGGGACACTTACCTATCCAGGACTATAAACATCCTGTAAACATAACTTGCAGCTATAAGTAAACTGACAGACTGTAAAAGTATGGAGTAGAGGAGGTAAAGGGACAGGGTAAATGGTACAAATGGATGTGATAATGAAAACAGAGTAAAGATTTAAACTTCTGACACCCAAGCTAAATAGTTAAAATTAATAGCTATTTCCTTGAGCAGTCAAACTAAATTCTTTTAATCTCCTTAGGTCTGAATTCTTTTCTCACCTTTAGAAGCAACATTAATCCAAAAACGAAATCCCTGGATATTAGTTAGAAAACTTTTACTCACCCTAAAACTTTTATTATGTTTGCAAACATTTCATTGCACTATAAGAAAGAATGGCTGGGCCTGGATATAGTTCAGTGGCTGAATATGTACAAAAAGCTACGTTAAATCCTCAGTACTGCCCCCACCCCATTCCAGGAATGAGCAGAAAAACTAATTAAAAATGAAAATTTCTTTCAGGAAACTGCTATAGAATATGTCTCTGTAACTATCAATGCTTTTATGAATTGGTAACAGCAAAACACCAGGAGCTGTCAAAAAGGCTGTTGATACTTTATATTAAGACAGGTGATGCCTGGGGATTTAGCTCAGTGGTTCCACCGCCTGCCTCACAAACGAAAGGTCCAGAGTTCAATCCCTGGTACCAAAACAAAACAAAACAAACCAGCATATATATGCTAGCTACGGAGAAAAGAACAGCAGGATATATTCTTAATACAGTGAAAGCTTACCTGATATGCCATTCTTGCTGGTGTTCAAGAAAGCTACAGATGCTGCAGAGACTCTTTTACTGTTCACAGTCTGTCCTGGTTTTCTTGAGGTACATTCTTCACTATCACTGTCTTGTAGATTTAGTAGCCTTGGCTGGAAACACTGTAGTCGACATGATCTGATATTGCTTAATATTTCAGAAAGGGACAGTCTATTATCACAAGATTTATTGGAAGCATTGGTCCGAGAGATATTAGAAGAAAAGTCTATTGTTTGGGAAGGGCTTTTCAGCATTTCAGGATCTATCTGTTTTAGAACTGAGTCATGTTCTGTGGATATTCTGTCCATGATAACCCTGAAAAGCGACATGAAACCAATTATTAATAAGAAGAGTTTAAGAGTTTCTCTATTTTCTCTTCTAGCTTATAAACAAAAACAAACAGCTTACCTTCCACCTCTGCCAATTCGCCTCCTTGCAAATCCTATACATCTTCTTGGGACTGTAAGTGTTGTAAGGCAATGCCTATACCTCAATTTATCCAAATCTGCCAAATCTGAATTTTCACATGTGTGGTTAGCTTGGTCCAAATGAGGCTGCAAAGACATACACACAAAAATAACATAGAGCAAATCTGAAATGAAGAAAAATTAAATCATGATAAAAATAAAGTAACTACAGCAATAGCAGATTAAAAGTCTACATGAAAAACCGTAAAATTAGGGCTTAAATGATGTTTACCAGGTTAAAATTTGTAAAACTGCATAAAAAATTTACTCTACCCTAACAGAATTTAGTTGATAAATATACACTTATCATGTTATGTTTTTCCCACAAAAATTTTATAGTATATAATGATACATAACATTTATAAGGAGGAGGTGGTACATAATACATCGTTATTCTTTTTTTTTTGGTCCCCTATTCCTACCGTCCCTCCCTGACTCTTCCAAGTCCTGTTCCCTTCCCAATTGCAAGAGCTCTATTTTCATTTTCTTCCCTTCGATTCTTTTTCTTATTCCATCCCCCTTTCCTCCCATCCTTTCCTTTCCCTTCATCTCTTGTTGCCCCATCCATTTGTAAAGATTTCTCTACTTCCTATTTGCCTTTTATTCTGCCCCACTCATCTATAAATAGAGCTCTTGTTAGTTAATTTATGGGCTTTCTAGTGTGGCAAGACAAGAATTTTTTTTAAACCACAAATTCTGCTTTAAACATGTGGGTCAAGCTGAAGATTTCTCTTTACTATTGAGAAACACAGCCCATTTCTTTGCTTTCCTACTATCTTTCTCATTCTACTTTTGTGCCACTTTTGTCCTCTTTTAATTTCCACTTCTCTTAAAAACAGAAATTCCCATCTCTTTTGTATTAAGTACAGTATATATACCCTGAAAAAGTTAACAATGTAAAATTTTAATACTCAGCAGCCTTCAAAAGTTTCAGAGCCCAATGAGGGGGAAAAAAGAAGTTCCAGAGCCAATTTAGCCAATTTAGAGATTCTGGGGCTAATTTTTACAACTGCTAAAGCTATAATTAAAGCCCAAAATGAAATTATATTTCTAAAGCATGAGGAATTAGCAATTTCCAGGTAAAGGATTCTGATATATATCCTGTGAAAAGATTCAGTATCTTTTAACACTATCCCCATAGGGGATGTTAAACCATGTTCCATTTTTAGATTAAGGTACACATGAATTATCTGTTAATTCCAGTCCACAAAAATATAGTTCTTACAGCATAATACTGGCACCCTGCCCGCCTTCTGAAAGCACAGGGACCATCAGGATCATTTTCTTCTTCAGGTTCTGATACTGGGGATGGAACCTGGACAAAAGAAGCATTCTGTTTAGGAGTTATCCAAAGTCAATACGTCAATGTTTGTAATGATCTAAAATTAAAATTTAATAAATAACAAATCATTGCGTTGCTAATCTAGCAGCCAGTAAATTCCTCCATTTAATGACTAGCAAATATCTTCCATGGTTAAAAATCCTTACTTGTGGAGCCAGGGACTTGGCCCAGTGATTCTGCCGCCTGCCTTACAAGAGAAAGGGCCCGAGTTTGATCCCCGGTACAAAATAAAACAAAACAAAACACTCAAAAATCAAAAACAAAAAATCTTTACTTCTAATGGTTTAGTTCTTGTAGTTAATTACATGTTGTACTGCATAGCTACTTCTGTACATGAGGTGTCATAAAGAATGTGGCTTTTATATATTCCATTATATAAATAATATATGTGATCATAAATACTTGATGATGGCAGTTATACTTCACTCATTGGTAGATGTGTTTTTAATCCAGTAACTTTTCTCTCCAAAAAGCCAAAGTAAAAAGACAGGCAAAAAAGAAAAAAAGCTATAAATCCTATAGTTTTTTACTCAAAAGATTATTTTGCTATTTCCCATCTTTCTTAAAGAAATCATTCTTTCAATTAGCAGATCAGAAGCAGAAAATTAGAAAAGCACCAATAAAGGTAAGTTGCAGATAAAAATGATAAACCAACAAAATAAAAAATTGATAGACCTATAACAAAACAAAGAACAAAAAATAAAAATATTTCATATAACTGTCACATTAAAAAGTTATTCCAGGTGGGCGTGATGGTGAACACCTGTAATCCCAGCACTCCAGAGGCTGAGACAGGAGGATTGCTGTGAGTTCGAGACCAGCTTGGGCTACATAGTCAGTTCCAGGTCAGTCTCAACTACATAGTGAGACCTTGTCTCAAAAAAACAAACAAACAAACAAACAAAAAAACCCAAAAAGTTATTTCAGCCAGGCCATGTGATATAAAGCTAAATATCACTGTATAATCTGAAGGGGGATCCTTAGGATAGACTTATGACTATAAATGTCACAACAACAGATAAAAGACATACACATGTACTGTGACATGTCACAGAAATAATGTTTTGGCTAAACTTCTACCCATAATGGTTAAAATCAAACAAAAAAGTTGTGGTACTTAAATTTCAGTTGTCTAGCAATTTCATTTTGTAGTACATCCATCTTTTTCTGATAAACGTTGGCTGAACCATATTTACTTGCACATTTTTTGAACCTCACAAATCCCTCTCTTCCTAATTTGAGAGGAAAAAATACTTTCTCCACATTATTTCCAAACTGTGGCAATTACCACTGAGTGGGGTCATCCAGGGGAGAAAGGCATTTGTTTGAGGTTCCAATATACCTCCAACAGCCTTATGAGGGAGACACAGAAATAGTGAGGTGGGGCTGATTCTTCTTCAGGGAGAACCAAGCCCCAAACCTGAAATTTGAAAGGAAGTCCCAAATGTGAGTTTTACATGTTGGTTCCTTTGCAAATCATTTGCCTCTTCTAAGATATACACAGAAAGTGTCAAAATCTAAGTCTTAGAAATTCTTTGCCCCTAAAGTATATATTACCTCTTCCTCCTAACGACCATTCCCCAGGACAGGATTCTACAACACAGTGGCAAGGCTATATAACACAGGAGACAGAAAGATAATTTTAAGAGAACCAGAAGCATGATCAAGAGGGGATAATACTCTTAAGACCCCTTATTCTCTTGTTCCTTATTTACTGGACAAAGAAGCTATATATGATTACCTAAACAATCTCTTGAGAAATAAAATTCTGAATATAGAAGAGCTACATTCTAAATGGCTTCCTCAGTGAATAGTACCACTGAAAACTAATGAGAGAGTTAAAACCAAGCATAGGAACTTAGAAAAATGTGTAAGTTTCAAAACTGTAATTTTCATGTGGGGCTGGGGGCTGGAGACTATATGAGTAAACATATAAATTTAAAGCAGAAATGAAGATCTCTTAATGCATGACAAGTATATGATCTGTTAGGCTATGTGAGCCCTTCTTTCGGCCTGGAAGGACTGACTACAAAAGGCAAAAGTTAGCTATTACAGGTCATATCTGGCATTGTTCTTAAAGGGGTAAGAATGTGTAACAAAATTTTCTAGGCTCTCATTAACACTATCAACATACTACTGTTCTACATATACTTATCTCATCATGTATTTTCTTAGTTAAATTTTTACGTAATTTCCCAGAATGTATAATATATAGATAGAAGCCACTTGGCTGATATTGCCAGCATCATTCCTTTTACTCTCTCTTCCTTATCTATGTTTTATGCTCCAGCAACGCCAAACCCTGAGCAGTTCTAAGTAACTATTTTTGCTACTTACGGTATTTTTCTATATTCTCTTTTCTAAAAAAAAACAGTATTTGTTAAGGGCACTATATCCCTCATTTCTTCAAAAAGTCACATGATTATTGCTCCATATTTATTTAAAGACTGGTCTAACTGGATGATCCCTATGACAAAAAGTAATGACTGGTTTTCTTAAATAGTTCTGTAAAATTAAACATATTTGTTACTATGCACATGAATGACAAAATGTTATCTGGGGCAGAAAAACTGAGTAAAAATAAGAATATAACCACATTTTCTATAAACTCTGGTTACAGCAATGAAGCGTTTTATAAAGTATTGTCTGCAAACATTTTCAATGCTGATTTTTAAAAATTTGTCTTTAAAGTGAATAAGTAAAAATATTAAAATATGATAAACCTGGTATAAAGTCAAGATATTTGTTTCAGTAAAGTTTTTATATAACATAGAAAAAAAAAAAAAGAAAAGAAAAACAGAAACAGAGGATAATGCTAGTCCAGGTGCTAAACAATATTACTTTTATAGATCCTTTCATACGTGAAATAAAAATCTTTTTTTTACTTATGCAAGTGGGGCTGGGGATTTACTCAGGGGTTCCAATGCCGGCTTCACAAGTGCAAGGTTACAAGTTCAATCCCCGATTGAAAAAAAAAAAAAAAAAAAAATTTAAAAAAAAAAAAAAAAAAGTAAAATTTAAAATGTTATGTATTTATTTTTTGAGACAAGGTCTCACTATGCAGTCCAAGCCGGCTTTGAACTCAATACATAGCCTAGTCTGGCCTCTCTTAACTCATGATACTCCTGCTGCAGCCTCCTGAATACTGCTGGGGATACAAGCATGCACCACACCTAGCAAAATTAAAAAATTTAAATTGCAAATATTTTGCTATAAAATTGTTGCAATATTCACTAAATAATTATTTTCACAAGTTATAATTTCTAAATCTTCTTTAGAATCAAACAATTACTACCTAGAAGATTAGCAAAATACATTCAATGTTATAAAAAAGATTGCTGGCAGAATATGATAAAAAGTTAATTACTGCTAGACAATACATATAATTATGCCTAAACATCTTAAAAATATCATTAATCTTTAGCTCAATAATTTCATTTCTAAAAACTCATTTCAAAGAAAGATGCTCAATTTTATAAGAGAAAACTGAAAACCATGTAACTGTTACACATTAGAATAAATTCTATCCAACAGATGGAAAATAGAAAATACTGGTTTTTGACTGTATATGTATAGTCACACTCACATGCAAGTGCATAAATGAAAAAAAACACATGTAGAAAATGTTTAGGTGAACAAAACAAGAATCAAATCTCTAAGATGTCACTTGTATTTTAAAAGTACAGCAATATTAGAGGAGGACATGTCTTTAAAATAGTTTTAAAACAAGCACCTGTGGAAATTCATCTTCATCTGAGCTGTGAAAGTCATATTGCTTAATGTCACTCTTATTGATCACAGGCAATGTCTCAGGAGTGGGCTGCTGAGATGTTACCAAAGCCTCTGCTTTAGGCTTCTTTGGGTACTTCTTCTTTTGACGAACCACATCAGAAGCCTCTTCTTTCAAAGACAAATGATGAGTGTGCTGTTTACATGACGATTTTTCCCCCAAAAGGAAGAAATGAAAATCATTTTAGAAATCAAGAAAAACTATACTGCTCTTTGAAAAAATACACATTTTTATCCTGGAGCTAATTTTATTTTTTAGTATGCAAAAATTACTTTGTGATCATAAATTGAAATGTTTTAGATTTCCTGCAAGTTATAATGAAAAGTAATTATGGTATTTTAGTTTTCTTTTTATATTATTACTAATAGTTAAACTTAATGATTTTTTATATTGCTCTATTATTCAATTTAGTGTTTAAAAGGTATGTAAATTCAATTCTTAAATCCACTATATTGATAAGGAAATCTAATAATTTGTTTTAAAAATAACTTGAATTAGATCATGAATTCATCAATTAATTTCTAAAAGTATTTCCAATTTTTAATAATATCTGTGGGTGGTAATTTTTGAGAAGATAACTTATTAGCTAGAAAAAAACCTCTCACTCTTAAGAGCAGATAATTACTGTCTGAACTGAACAATAATAAAATTGTTCTCAAGTGTCCAAGTTCTGTGGAAGTATCTGAGATGATCTGGCAAAGGGATCAACTGAAGAAAGAAGGTTCTAGCCCCCAATTCCCTTCCACAGAGCAGGTCTACTTCTGTTTTAAAATACTAGCTTCCAGTTCTGCTGCCTGCCTTGCAATGGCGAAGACCCGAGTTCGATCCCCGGTACAAAAAAAAACAACAAACTAGCCTCCTTTTAATAAAATGGGATATATCATTTTTATCAAGTTGGAAATAACTGTTCTGAGCACCAGAGAACAATATGAAAGTGTAAAGTTAATGCTGGGGATTTAGCTCAGCGGTTCGGTGGCCTGCCTCGCAAGTGCAAGGACCCAAGTTCAATCCCCGGTACCCCCCTCTAAAAATGTGTAAAGTTATTAAACAAGTTATGCATTTCCCCTGGTAGTCCAGATGACGAAACTACATTAGGACTGAGTGTGGTGCTGCATGACTGTAATCTGACTTATTTTAAGGGCTACAGGTATAGCTCAGTGTGAGCCCTAGCTTCAATGCCCAATACTACAAAACCCCAAAATCCAACTATGTAATATAAAGTCAAAAATTTTACACAATGAAAATGTTGCTTGAGTGGCAATTTACATTTACTGAGATATAAATTTTTACATAATGCGTATAATTGTAAAAAAACCCAACTTAGAAACTCTTAAGGTGCAGAGTGCAACAAAGAAATTATAGTTAACTATGTGTAATGGAATAAGACAATAATGGAGGCAACCATATCTCTAAAATTAGTATTTTGACAGGCTGAAAATTTATTCTTAGAGAAGAGCTAAAATAAGATCCAATATATAATAAAGGCTGGTTCTATCAGTAATTATAGGTTAAGGTTTTCATATTCTTAATTCCTAACAATCATATACTTAGGAAATGTACTAGCTGATGGAGAATGGATTGTAAAAAATAACTTACAAAATGACATCTGTTGCACTGATAACTTTTTTTTTTTGCTATTACTGCAAGTGTGATTTAACGGGAAAAAGGTAGGTGGGCTAGATGCCTGTGATTAATAAGAACATGGTTTTTGAATTGATTTGAGTAACATCAAGGAGCCTTCCCATCCCACATTGTTCCTTGTCCTTTAAGAATGAACCCATGAAAAACAAAAACTGTGTACATTTTAAAAGATGAATTTCCCATGAACATTCTAAGTCACCTTTAAAATCTTGCTATAGTAAGATTCTACTGTCTTAGATGCTTCAACTCAGTATCTTACTTATACCTAAACTCCTTAAAATTAAAGGCTGTATTATGTATATATCCCAATTAAATACTCTAATGTACTAAAGTAGTACTGAATAAATACAATTACTTATTCTAAGAATAAAATAATCATTAAGTCTAGCTCTTTTATTGGGAAAAAAATGTGATCCAGAAAGTAGAGGATTTTCTTAAATTATTCAAGGTAGATAAGAGATAAATGCTAGTTTTTAGCAATGATGACGACTTAATAATAACTAAGAAAACATAATACTCTCAATGAAGTAAGCCTTAAAGTTTAGGTTTTGATGTCTGCCACTATGACACAGGGTTTGATAAGACTAATGATAATAACTACACTTGTACTACCCTCATTTTTTAGGAAAGCATAGTTTACTGGAAATCAATATACTGTGGTAGCTGAACTCATACCTTAACTCTGCCACTTATTAGCTATGACACAGAATTCACACTGGGGTTAACCCTACTTCAAGAGGTTATTATAAGGATTAAGGGTTAACATAAAAACTTCTAGCAAAGTACTTAGCTGACTAAAACAAATTCATGTTAACTGTTCTTTTCCACCCTATATTAAGAGCAAAATCAGTAACTCTGCTCAATATTATAATACATGATCCTTCTTAGAGAATACTCACCTTCGTTTTACATTCTTGAACTTTGTGATGATTTCCATTGTGAAGAGTTGCTGGAGTGGTATATAATTCCTTTTCTGATCTACTGATTTTCACCTCATTAAGGATTTCACCTCCGTAGTCTCCCAAATGGTATCTTGAAAAAATTAGACAAGAAAATGTTAGATAGTTTAAAGATTAAAGAGTTCCCCAAAACAATTATACTACAATTAAGCCAAGAAAATATAACTAACAGATTATTTTAAAAGAAATGAAGCTCATATTTGGGATTCAGTAAACAAACAAAAAGCCTAAGGTACACAGAAAACAAATTTTCTTCTGCATCAAGGAAGAGTTGTTTGCAATGCTTACTTCAGCAATCACAAAATTCCTTTAGGTTTAGGTTAGTCTGCAGAAAAATACATGAAGGAACACATTTCCAAACAGAATTGAAACAAAAAATTTTGTCTTCCTAGACAGAAAGTAAAATCAAATATTCATTTCCTTTAAATTTTAATAGAAATTTTAATTTGAGCATGGTGGCACATGCCTGTAATCCCAGCACTTGGGAGGCTGACGCAGAAGGATCACTTTTGAGTTTGAGGCCAGCCTGGACTACACAGTGGGTTTGAGGCCAGCTTGAACCGTGTTCTCAACCACCCCTCTACTAACCTGCCCCCCAAAAGGAAAGAAATCTTAATACAGAGAACTAGACAACATGATTTCTATGTTCTTTACTAAATAAATTCAATGATCCTGCAAAAAATACTACCTTTATTAAAAGGTCTATTTCACATACCAAAATTCTTCCAAATATGCAATTCAAATTAATAGCAGTTCAATTGAAAAAAAAAAAAAACTAGTAACTAAAAATCTTTTTTAATAAAGTGGAAATTCTGTTGGAGAATTAATAAACTGTCATAAAGCTTAAGTTCTCTCACTCCCCCAAATTTATTTTGGTTAGTTTGTCCATTATCAGGCTAAAGCTGACATTAAGTATTAATAGCAATTTTACCTTTTTTCCACAACTTCTAAGGTTAAGTGCAGTAATTCTCGTTTTGTTTTCTCTCTTCTCTTAATCATTTCCAAAATAGTTATGGCTCTACTAAACTCTCGTCTCAGTTTCAACATCTTTTCATAAGAGGCTTCGTCATTCTTACGATTCTATTAAAAACAGTAAAAGTTTTAGAAGAATTAACTCAATCATCCACATTTCCCAGATTCATTCAACAACTTATCATATTCTAATTTGTCTTATATAAATCATCCAGCCTATAGCCTCAACTACTCATGAGGCTGAGGCAGGAGAATCCTGACTCTGAGGTCAGCCTGGATAACAAGCAATGCAGTGAGACCCTGACACCAAAACAGCAACTAGGAAAGAAAATCTCTTTAACTCTGAAAATACTAAGTCCAGGCATATATCTTTCAACATATATTCAGAAAAATGTGTTGCCAGCTGACTGTAACATAGTCAAAGTAAGTTTTTACCTATTTACCCAATTGTGTGAGTGGAGGCTAGAACGTTCACTATACTCCAAAGTAAGTTTGAATAATGATAATCAGAGCTTCATTTCAGAAACTCAGAAAACTCAAAAGTAGTATATCAAGTACCTCAAGAAATGAGATTACCATGGTTCAACGCATTACAAATCAGAAACATTTAACAGAAATTCTGAATTTCAGAATATAGTGAACCAGTTGTTCCTTTTAAGCATACGACAAAACCATCTAATTACAAAATGAAAACTCAGTTGTTATTAGCTGCATCCACTTGCACATAATAATTACTATTGGCCAGGAGTGATGGCACGTTATAACCCCAGAATGCGGGGAAGCTGATGCAGGAGAACTGCAAATTCTAGTACCAACTGGGCAACTTGGTGAGACTCTAATCTCAAAGTAAGATAACAGCAAAATAAAAAAGGCTGAAGATATAGATCAGCAGTTGGGAGACCCAGGGTTCGTTCCCCAGTACTGCAAGACCAGCAACCAAACAACCTATTAATGCAAACTATTGTGTTAACTCAAATATCCACAGAGTTATTTTCTTTATACTGGACACAGTACTACGGTTTATAACAGCCAGGTGTGGTAAGTTATGCTTCAAATCTCAGCACTTTTGGAGGCTGAGACAGGGAATCTCAAGTTCAAGCTCAGCCCAGGCATCCTCAGGAGATCTTCTCTCAATAGTAAAAACTAAGAGGGCTGGGGCTTTAGCTCAGTGGTACCTCGTCTGCCTCGGAAGGGCAAGGTCCTGAGTTTGATCCCAGTACTGGGGAAAAAAATAGAAAATAAAAACTAAGAAAAGGGCTGGGTATAACCCTCTGTATGAAGGTCAAGGTTCAATCTCTGTATCACAAAATACCACAAACAAAATAAAACCAAACTAAGCCACTATTACCCCTTAATCCCTGTCTACACAAAACTGCACTTAAACAATGTTCCATCCTTGCTAATAATTCAATATATAGTAGAGGATATTAAAACCAGAAGAGTACCAGAGATTTCATAAAGGAAGATTATAAAAGAGAAAATAAAAATTGAGGAAAAGTCAAAGTTTTACTTTTTCTTTTGTGGATGGTTTCTTGCATTTGAAAGATCATTATCTACTGTAAATAACCAAAGTCTTATTATGATACTGTGTACAGAATATTTTAAAATGCTAAGAAAACATTTTTTCATCTAATTAAAAGAAAATCTTGTTTTACCCTTAAGTGTTGCATGATAAAAGGCAAAATGTATTTTAAAGCGTGGTTTTAAAGCAGTTGTGTTTTTTTTTGAGGGGGGATTAAAACAAACAATTATCTTCCAATTTAAAAAATTAACATTATTAATAGAAAATACTAAAGTGCATATGCTCTCTAACTTCAAAATAAAAATGGCGGGCATACAGGATCAAAAGAAGAGTAACAGTACAAGACTATATGGCACTGGCAGTTGGATAACAGTCACACGTACATGAGAACCTTTAAAGACTGCCCCCTTTAAAGTGCTCCTCTTGGACTCTGCTTGTGCCCTATCTTACCCATTTCCTGCCATGCTAAGACCCAGATAGCAACTCTTCCTCATTTTTCCTTTTCTCAGGCTTGTCCTTTCTAAAGTTAAGGGTGGGGGGCATTATTTCCATACAGTTTTATCCAGAATCACTCAATTTAATATTTTACAATGCTTTCTCTCTCTTCATAGGTATTACATAAATGTACATGTATATACATATATAAACACATACATAATTTATTAGCAGTACTTTTGAAATTTCTGATAAAATATGAGATGTAATGCCATGCTTTTTCTAAAAACATTTTATGTAATCAGGTACTAAGAAAATCTAAAAATTAACACCGATAAAATCCCATTTATTCTCAAGCTTTATTCATATTTTGTCAACTGCCCCACTATTGTCTTTTATAATAACAAATATATATACCACTATAAAGGACATTAATGAGACGACAAAAAATTTTACTATTAAAATTTATTAATGATACATTTTTTTGAGGGTAGGATTGGATTCCAGTCTAATAAGTGCATTTAGTTTTCTAAATGCTTCTTTAATCATCTATAGTTTGAAATAGTTCCTCTGTGTTGATTATGACCCTGACATTCTTCAAGAATAGAGACAATTTATTTTGTGGGTTGTTTCTCAATTGGAGTTTCACTAATGTTTTTCCATGGTTAAATTCAAGCTTTTTATTTTTGGTACAAATACCACAGAAATGATATTATGTTCCTCTAACATCATCACACCTTAGAAAAATACCTGTCCTGTTATGGCTAAACAATTGATTATCATGGTATTTGCTAGGTTTCTGTAGTTAAATACGATTTTTCCCTTTTAAAGGAACAAGTATATTGTGGGACTAAATGACTACCTTGTTCCTCATCAAATTCTCTACCATTAGAGTTTAGTGTCCATTGGTTCTAACTTTTACCTGCAGTAATTATCACTGTGGTGGCTACTGAATGGTTATTTTCTACCATTTCACCAGATTTATAAGTTTGCAAATCTATTTAAAAAACTGCTTTCTTCTTCTTGTCTCTTTTCCACCATTTATCTCAGTATGGACTCATGGGTTACTCTATGGGTTATGATCCCTTACTCTCACTATTTTAAAGCTCAAAATTTCCCCATCCTGATCAATGGAATCTCTTGCTCAAGCTGGCCCCTCTGTCCTTCTGACATGGATCCACAATACTCTTCGATTCCCATTCTCATTTTCTGGTATAGAAGAGTATTTCTTCCAGGCGTATCTTTATATTCATTCTTGCTATATCAATATTAAAAATAATGAGCTTAAACTGATACTTTTCTATTCTCTTAAAATGGACCTATTAATGTATTCGAACTTTTTACCCTTTCTCACAACTGTCTCTGTTCGGACCAGCTCTTTTTTTCCTATTTCAGTTACCTATTGTACCTATTGCCAAATCTTGAGAGGTGATTTTCAAACTCGTATATTTTATAATTAACTGCAGATCTTTTTATAACCAAGGATGAGTCACAGGTGATTGTTATGCATAGTCAGAACTAAAAACTACTACACCCTGGGAATTGCCTTTTAACTACCTTATATTTGGGCCTCACAAAGGGAGGAGAGAAGGCACATATTCTAAGAGTTGTATCTATGTGGCTAAACATATTAAATGTTTATGCTCATTCAAGACATCTCAATCAGTGCATTTAGACAGGATGGTGCCGTAAGATAATCCCATTAAAAAAATCCTAATGTACTTATGCACATCACATTAGTTTGGTGAATTTAAATTATAAGCTGCCAAACACATATTTCAGAAGTCTTCTGGCCTTTGTATCTGCTATACAAGTATTTTTAAGTTTATGGAAATAGAAAAAGAAATAGCTTTTGTCAGCAGTACTCATTTTTGTGTACCCTAGTATATGCCCACTTTCTGACCATTATTCATTGAGTGCTTTCCCATCTTTCTTTCTTTCTTTCTTTTTTTTTTTTTTGGTTTTTTTGAGACAGGGTCTCACTATTTAGTTGAGACTGATCTGGAACTCACTATGTAGCCCAGGCTGGTCTTGAACTCACAGCGATCCTCCTGCCTCAGCCTCTCGAGTGCTGGGATTATAGGCATGCGCCACCACACCCGGCTAGTTCTCATTTTTAAACACAACACTTCTAACTAGCAACACTGTATTACAAGGAATAGTGCTTTCAGTTCTACAACAACAACAATGAATAAAAAATAAAGAGCATCAGAAAAGAAAATGTATCACTCAGCAGAGGGTTACAAAATAACAAAAGGGCAGGATCAGAGCGTCAAGAATGTTTAAACATAAGAACCAGTTGCTAATAATTATCAATATAAAAACAAAAATAAACCATTTTAAACATTATTTATATGGCAATAAATATTACATATTTAAAGTATTTAATATCCATTCACTAAAGGAAGTCCAAAAATATTTTTCCTTCAAAAGACATTGCTAATAGTCATGTGTTTTGCAATGTATTTAAGTCAACTACGCAGCTTTTAAAATTAAATGCTCCTTCAGATTTTCCAATGGTCAAATAAAGCTCTCCTTGAATTCCAACAGTTCACAATTACATAGTTTCACCATATTTACAAGCTTTTCTCATTTTAGTTTTTTCTAAGAAAGGTGTTACATCTTCATAAAATATCCTACATTCCTTTAGCTAAGAACCAGAATGCCAAATTGAAAATTCAGCCTGAGTTAGGGAAAGTCATCTACATTTGGGAAATCCACCTTCTAATATTTAAGAAAATCACATCCACACAAGAGTTATACAAATTCTAGTTAGTTATTAACCAGGAGGAGAGTTTTTACTAAAATATACTATCCTTAGCAGCTGTTGTGCTTAACAGCTGTTAACAGCTGACAAAGACAAACATTCAGTGTTAGGAGAAACAAGAATCCACAGAAAATGCTTTGCTTCCAATTATAATTCATCATGGTTTTTACATTTATATGTTCCTGATTCTTTGCAATGTTAGATAATGTGTTACCATGTGTAGTAGTAATTGTTAATTATGGAAATGTAAGGTAGAATGCCTTATGGAGTAATGCTTTCCACTATACCGTATCATTCCACAGTGTGAGACTGTTTCTCTTAGAATTCTGGCTCACACTGCTTCTGAAAGCCAGGCAGGGACAAGTCCATCAATTTGAAATCTGAGACAACTGTCAATCCCACTGTGGCTTTTGACTGCTGCTAGGTTTGAAAACCAACCTTTCCCCATTTCCCATGACCTCATAATAGCTAGAGGCAGCAAGATCCATTTTTGCTTGTAAGAACTAGATATCATTTTGAAGGAATTGTAAGCTCATAAATGACAAACAGAAAAAGTAGTATTATTTAAAATTCTCAGCCGCCCAAAGAGAAGAGATTCATGACACAACTATAGTTTACTGAAAAACTCAAAACTTTCAAGGTATGTAAGGACACAAAATTCTTTGTATCATGTCAACTTCAAGCCTAAAGTAGCATAATCAAGTTTATAAAGGGTGTGGACAATAAACAATGTAAACAAATGGCCAATGGAAACAACTGATGAACAGGCTTTCTAACATAAAGTTTATCAATATTGTTAACTCCCATTATGTTCAAATTATTCAAGTTCTTTGGGGGGGAAAAAAAGGATTGGCTTATTTATACTATTAAGTTACACTCAGTTATATCTAATTTGCACATTACCTTTCTAGTTTGCATTTTCTCTGTTCTCCTCCGAAAGGCGACATAAGGATCATTGTTTGTAGAGCCATCTCTTTTCTCTTGTTTTATCTGAGGAATAAGGGATGGCCCCCTGCAGTTTTTACGTTTTCTCACCCAGTAGTCATATACAGCTTTAATAAGGTAATCATCTTCATTCAGCAGTAGTTTTGCTTCTTGAAGTGTTACGAGCTAAACAAAAAACACAAGATGTCATTGACTACAATGTTTGAAAAAGAGAAATCAAAGTTAAACTACAGCTATAGGAAAAAATGTGATTTTAACAGTTATAGTGAGATATTACGATGGCAGGTGAAGATACAATTCACTTCAACCTAACAAAGGATTATTATTATTTTTTTTTGAGTTTAAAAAAATTTTATTGGTACATTTTAGGTATACAATACAGTTACCTTCAGCATTGGTATCTTGTACCTTTACATGATGTATCTTGATTCTTATTTTTTCCCCATTCCCCTAGCTTGTATATGTGTTTTTACACATACATATATCTATTGAGAACTTCCTAGAAGTGTAGTCACTGGGGTCAAAATTTATTATGCCTAAGCTAACGGTGTAATGAATACTGACAGATTATCCTTAAGAGTTTGTGGATGTGAGAAAGATCTGGCTGCAACATTTGTCACCCCAATGATCGCCAGGGTTGATTCAGCTGATCTGGCTGGCTAGGTGGTGTCCCCTTCCTCCCTCATCATTCCATGTGTGTCCTTCCTGTGTGCTCAGTGGAAGAGGACGACCACCTCTGACAGAGGAGGACCATTCGCTCAGTCAAGTTATATGAGTAGCTGCACTCCCCTGCTAGAACCTACAAACAAACTCTCAGGAGCTTGTATTAATTTATATTACCTCCATAATGTGTATAT